CGATGGCTCCTAACACTTCCTTCCCCTGTGTGCAGATGGGGGGAAAAGTTCCCCACCTTCCATCAACCCTGGTGAAGAGGCCCTGGTTGCGATCAAACTGGACGAGAAGGAGGGCAGTGAGGCCAGTGACAGCAAAGAGAAGGTGGGACTTGGCAGGACCAGTGATCACCCTGGGGGGGAAAAGTATTCTCCCAAGGTGAGTTTTGTGCTGAGACAGCCCTGGGAACATGGAGCTCCCTGCGCTCGCCCAGAGACGCAGCAGCGCTGGCAGTGACTGAACCGCATGTGCACGCTGTCCCGCTCGCGTGTCGCCGCAGCCGTGCCTCAAGGCACAGGGCAGTGCAGGTTTTGTGCCTTGCGTCATCTTGGGGATGTTTGCCTTGGCAGTGGGCAGAGCCGCTGTCTCCTGCAGCCGAGACGTTCGGCGTGCTGTGCTCTCCTTTGGGCCAGAGGCTGATGGGACCCTGCACCCCTAAACCCCAGCCCCCTGGTAACTTCAGTGCCTGTCTCTGCCCTCCAGCCAGAGACAGGACCAGGCTCAGGCAGCACAAGCGCATCAAGAGCTCCCTGGAGGAGAGCTGGCTAGGAACTGTTTTACTCAAAAGGGAAGTCTTCAGATTTTGTTATTGAGAGGAAGCAAGCCCTGGGGTGTTTCTCAGGTGTGCACGCAGAGAACCAGGTACATGCGCCTGGGCCAGGCTCAGGCAGAACCCAGCTCCCCTTGGGCTGGCTGTAGTGCCGGCTGATTGATCACCCTCTGACTCAGAAATTCCCTACAATGAACTGATCTTTAAAACCCTCCCTCCCCACCTATTAAGCATTTTATGCTTTGATGAATCCTCCCTTTCCCGGTGCAGAGAGGAACACCTATCAGCTCACCCTGCTGGCTCCTGGGCTGCAGCAGGGGTCTGTCTGCTCACATTTGCTCTGCTTGATCCTGGCAGGAGCTGCTGGCACTGCTGAAGTGCGTGGAGGCAGAGATTGCGAACTACGAGGCCTGTCTGAAGGAAGAGGTGGAGAAGAGGAAGAAATTCAAGGTGTGTTTGTGGATGGCTTGTTTGCATTGCTGATTTAGCTCCCTGAAGACTTCTCTCTGGGGTGGCTTTATGTCAAAGTGGAGGGAAGACGTTTCAGCTGGGAACGGTGATGGGGAGCGTTCAGGGTCCCTTTCCTGTTACCAAACAGCCCCATGGGGCAGAGCTCCCACCAGGATAGACCGAAGCCCCTGGGCAGCACTTACAAGCTTGAGGAGGATGGTGGGGCACTGCAGCTGGGAGTCAGCTGAACATCAGTGCTGACAGGAGGAAGGGGAAAGTCTCTGCCCCAAGGCCTGGCAGGATTCCTCCCCTGCCCACCCTTGCCTCTTCCCAGCTGCCCTTTGTGGAAAACACTGGGATCTGAGCTGGGATGGAGGCTGTCCCAGTTGTGCACTGGCCTGAGCTAGGCTGGGAGGTGGGTGCCTTCCTGCTCTGGTCTCCTTGGCCTGCAGGATGGGCCAGACATACTGGTTCTTTGCCCTCTGTTAGCCTTGAGCTGTCCTTTCTCCCTGCCACCTGTTTGTGGATTATCTGTGGATTTGTCATCTCTTTGTAGATTGACGACCAGAGGAGAACGCACAACTACGATGAGTTCATCTGTACCTTCATCTCCATGCTGGCCCAGGAAGGTGAGCCGTGCAGCATGGGGTTCAGTCAGCTGGGGGCCTCCCGCCGTGGAGTTAGGGGAGCCGCACTGAGCGTGGCAGAGCAGCAGCTGGGGGCCAGGGAAGCTCACCCAGCCCTGCTCCTTCTTTCTGCCAGTCCTAAGGCATGAGGTAGCACTCAGTCTGGGGAGCCACACTTCTCTGCTCTGCGTCCTTCTGATTTTATAGTCCCAGGAGGAGCCCACTGATGGGTTTTGGGCAAGAGAGGGAGGGCTGCACTCTGGCATGCACAGTACCAGCACTCCAGCACGGGGCATGTCTGTCTGCCTCTCCCCCTGCAGGCATGCTGGCAAGCCTCGTGGAGCAGAACATCTCTGTCCGCAGGCGGCAGGGAGTCAGCATCGGCCGTCTGCACAAGCAGAGGAAGCCGGACCGCCGGAAACGCTCCCGGCCGTATAAAGCCAAGCGTCAGTAGCCTGGGAGTCAAGACTGTGAGAAGCAGCAGCCGGGCTTCGTGGCTTTGGGCAGTGGCACGTGGATCTATGTTACCCTTTGCCCGAGGAAGAGGGACCACAGTGACAAGCCCTCGGCCGAGCCTGGGGACAAAGAGAAATCATTTTCTTCTGAGCCTGAGTTGCGAACGGCAGAAACGCATTGTCTTGAGGGGAGTCCCTGCGGCAGTAGGCACGCTGGAGTGCCCAGCTG